TGGAGAAAAAAAAAAGCGGAGTGCTGCAAAATATTGGGACAGGGACACGGGACAAACGCCTAAATATCGGGACAGTCCCGATTTTATCGGGAGGTCTGGTCACCCTAGGGAAGCCTGCCAGCCCTGCCAACCCCCAGCCCCGCTCCAGTGGGGGTCCTGGGCTGCTCTCCCCCGAGCACCAGTGGCGCCCCCGGGCCGACCCCCCATTAAGATTTAGTCGGGGTTTACAGTACAAGTCATGGACAGGTCATGGGCTGTGAATTTTTGTTTACTGCCCATGACCTGTTCATTACTTTTACTAAAAATACCCATGACTAAAATGTAGCCTTGGGCATTAGTAAACTGTCAAAACAAAACAATGGACAGTCCAGTCAAAGGCAAATGATCTTCCCATTGAAATTCTTTCCCTTTTTATTGTTAAACGTAATGTTAATTTTTAGCAAACAGCCAGATTCAAACATACTTTTTAATACAAGATTCTATCATTCAGAATTGTTTTTAAATCCCTGGATTCTTCCCTTTAGGAACAGATCAATACCTATAGTCAATTCCAATAGTTCTATTACTTTATCCATATCACTGCATTCTCAATTTAGCAATATTGGTGTTAGTCCAAATTGTTCAGGTGCCTGGGAGTGCATGCAATGGGGTTTGTGGGCACTGGCAGTATTCCACATTGTGGGCACTGGCTAGATTTCACTAGACTAGGATCATTCTAAATATATCACATATATAGCCTGGTATGCCGGAATCATGCCATGACATCTGCTTCAATACATGGGGAATTTGATGAAATTTCCACTACAGCTGTTTGAAAAATGTTCTCTTTCCCCCCCCCCCGGGGGAAAAATGTTGGTGGTCAGACAAAATATTTCAGGCAAAATCCAAAATATTTGAATTTTGATATGCTGCCATGATGCTTCATGGGAGATGTAGTTCAGGTGCCTCAATCTCTCATTCTCCTCTATAGTCTGGGCTCCCACCTCAAACTACATCTCCCAGGATGCACTCTGATCTTCCCTCTTGTAAGGGAAGGCGGTGTATCATGGGAGTCCTTGGCCATGGTGCATCATGGGTGATGTAGCCTACCTGGGAAACCCAGACCATAGTGGAGGATGGGGACATGAAAGCAATGAACTATAGTTCTCATGAAGGACCATGGCAAAATTTATGACCAGTCCTAATTTCCTCTCAGCCTTGGAATTTATAGCAATATACACTAATAAAAGCTACCATGAAATACTGGTCTTTCAGGAAAGAGAGGGTTGGCAGTTAGCCACCATCTTCTACCTACTTTTGTTGGGAAATAGTGGCTGGTTTTAAACATCTTCAGTGCGCCGGACATGATGAAGGTGGTGAAGAAGAGAATGCAAGACCAGAAGAGGACATCTGGCGTGTAGGGGCCATGGTGCCCACAGGCGGGTCCAGTAAATTCTCCATGCATTTTCCGACATTCCTGGAGAAACAGGTAATCAAGACACCACCATAAACACACACAATGCCCGTGATACACCACAAATGTGACGTGACATCTCAAAAAAGAGGCTCTTTAACGGACTTAGTATCTGCATAGTCTGAAGACAGCATTCAGAGCTAAATCCTGCTATTCTTACATAGGCCAAACTCCCACTGACTACGATGCGCCTTTGGCTGACAGCGTATGGCTTTAATATGCATTAGGTAGCAACGTGTAGGAATGATCAGACGGGCTGTGATGATTCATGGATATTAACACCCTCTTGTTACAAGTGTTGGTTGCTAACTTTTTTCATTCATAGATTTGAAGCCCTGAAGAGACATTTAGATCATCTAGTAAGACCTCTGATCCTCTGACTCTGAACTTGACAGGAGTAAACTATTAGTTACTTAAACTGCAATCAGTTAACAGATGAGAGTCGTCGCTTGGGGTCATGTTTTCAAAAGTGTTCATTACACTACGGTTCCTGTCATGACACGTAGGCAGGGCCGGTGCAAGCAAGGTTTGTGCCCTAAGCGAAACTTTCACCTTGCACCCGCCCCCCTCAGCCCTGCGGCATTTCCCTGCCCCCCCCTCCGCCCTAGGCGCCCCCCCCGGGGAGCCGTGCAGCAGCTCCCCACTCCAGCTCACCTCTGCTCCGCCTCCTCCCCGAGCACACCGCCCCCGCTCTAATTCTCCTCCCAGGCTTGCGGCACCAAACAGCTGATTGGCGCTGCAAGCCTGGGAGGTGGGAGAAGTGGAGCGGCGACCGTGCGCTCAGGGAGGAACGCTGTAAAAAAAAAATTGGGGGCACCGCTTTTTGGCACCCCCAAATCTTGGCGCCCTAGGCAACCGCCAAGTTCGTCTTAATGGTAGCACTGGCCCTGCACATAGGGCCAGATTTTCAAAACAGCTCAGCACCCAATCTGCTGACTGGAGCTGGTCAGAAAATAGATTTTCTGTCCTGTGAAACATTTTTGAATGTTGACAAAAAAAAAATTGTTCCAAATCATGACAAGAAGCCAAAAATTTTTAGCAAAAGGAGATTCTTAAAAAAAATTATTTTGGGGGGGCGTCATTCGAAACGTTCAATAAATTTGAAATGTTTTGTTTCGATTTTGAGCACTTTTTAAAATGTATTTTTATTTTTTATACAAAATAAATTATGTTTCAAAATGAAAAATAAATTTGAAACAAACAAACAAACAAAAACCCTTTTGTTCCAAATATATCAAAATGGGACATTTCAATGTGTTCTAAATGTTTTTTTCTTTTCTTTTTTTTTAAGTGAAATTTTACTGCAAATATAATTTCGCAGAAAATTTAAGTTGCATCAAAGTGGAATTTTCAGATAGAAAACTGTTTGGACAAAATTTTTCCGACCAGCTGTAGTGTTCACCTCTTTTGACAATCTCTTCCTAATCATTGGCATGCTTATGCTTTGTCACTTATTAACCTTGGGTAACCAAGAACTCATCTAGCACGACACTTACCTGAATCGTTGCACTAATGACATAATTTGTGCAAACATTGTAAGACAAGCTGTTTACTAATGGAAAAACAGTAATGGAAATGTAATGGAAAAACAGCTGAGAGCATTACAGCCCTGCCAACGTGCACGTGATCTTAACAGAGTGGAAACGACACCGGCTTTATTTAAAAACTACCCCCTACAAAAAAATGCACTAATGCTTTACATCACAATTGGCTAGCAGAATATGGGCTATATTGTGGTCGCCCTATAGGGTGCGCTAGAGTGCTGAAAGGGCAGGGAGCGCTCACGCACAAAGCAGCTGCAATCTGTCAACTACTGCTTCAAGGAAATTGGGAGTAGGCAAAAAGACACAACATTGCTCCAGGTCCCACAGGAAGCTAGCTAGGAATCATCCCCTGCTAGCAGCAGCAGGCTACCAAGCCAACGTTAGAGAAAGTGCAGGCTGTATAGCTACAGAACAGGTGCACTCCCTGCTGCTCCTGAGTGTGTTGCAGTGGTTCGACCATTGGCCTGCTAAACCCAGGGTTGTGAGTTCAATCCTTGAGGAGACCACTTAGGGATCTGGGGCAAAAATCAGTATGTGGTCCTGCTAGTGAAGGCAGGGGCTGGACTGGATGACCTTCCAGCTCTATGAGAGAGGTATATCTCCATATATATTATTGCAAGTCTTGTGATTTTTTTGCTCATGGTTTTTAAGCCTAACTCATGATTTCAGGGGGCTGGGCTCACGATTGCTCACCATTTGGGGTTGGCTGTACGGGCACTATCCCGCCTGATACATTGTGCCTGCCCAGGGCAGTCATGCTCTTCAGATTCGCTTGCTCAGACAGGGCTCCTCCCGCCTCCTCTCCCAGCTCTGACCTGGCTCACAGAGTCAAATCCTCAGAGGTGCGGGCTTAGACATTCCTAGTAAAATGCATTTAAACTGGCAGCTACCAATGGAGATGCCTGCTCGCTGCACAGTGGCCGTCAAAGCATGGGGTGATGTGACGGGGCAGCCCCGCCCCGCACTGGCTCCAGCGACGTCAGACCAGTAGCTCTGACAGAGGAAGTCCCGCCCTGTTCGTACTGGGCATGCTCCAGATGCTCACTGAGTATAAAAGGAGGGAACTCAGCTCAGTCAGGGCTGGTGGCCGCAGGGGAAGGATCTAACTGGGAAGCTCCTGCAGAGGACCAGCCGATGCTCTTGAAGCTGCCAGGAACAGAGGCTTCTACAGGCCGGCACGAACCCCTACAGCGGGAGGAACCAGAGGAGGCGACGGATCCGGAGACTCACGGAGAACCCTGGGATCCGTGGGAGACCCCAACTCCCCAGCCGGTAGGGAGCGACCCGGGGGAGGTGACGGACTGGTACCTTGACCCCGC